GCAGGAATCTCCCTCTGCACTTCCTACCTGTGGAACCTAATCTCCATTTTTAGCACGAGGCCTCTCGGATGCTGTGCAAACCGACTTTGACACCGGTGTGCAGTTAACCAGCGTTTACTGGAGGAGAGGCTCAGCAATGGAACGGAGCAGAGCTCCCCAGTCCTCATTCAGTGTTTTTCAGTTGATTAATGAAATGTGACTTGTGTTCTTCCTATTCTCCAGCTCTAAAATGATATAATAATGTGTTAACTTTTGTGAGGTACCATATATACGTGTTGCTACGGTATCGACATTCCTTAAAGGAAAGCTGTTGTAAAACGTCCAGCGTCCAAAAGTAGTGAAGACGTTGCCTGGATATTAGCAAATTTCAAGAACTTAACTTCTAGGCAGCTCGGTTTAAAAGGGATTTTTCTCTTCTGTCTCAGGAAATATGGCCGCAACATTTTGTTAAGAGAATCTTTAATAAAGGAACAAACGGGGTTCATACTTTAAAAATTGGTCTTATTTGAGTGGCTTAGTGAAAAATGGTGAAAGGTTATCAGCAAAGAACTGAGAAAGAGTAACCAAAAAGCACCAGTGGAGTTACTGGATACCCCAGCAAATGCCGGGAAGAGACTGGGAGGTCTGAGCACCAGTGGGTGGAGCTAGTGACCTTGGCATCTGAGGGCCCAGGAGGAGAGGGTGTTCTTGTAAGTTTCGCGTGCGCGTTAATCCCAGCTCCCTCCATGTGGTCACTCCTGGCAAAGAGGTGGCCTGTGTAGGAGCTCCGTGATGGCACTTAGGGAATCTCTTTGGGCCGGGGAGAGTGGATTTAAAAAAAAAATCTGGGCCCGTTGCCCTGAGTCTCCATTGAGATGCTTTTTGGGGTGGCCAGGACAGCAGGAAGGGAGGTTTTGTGGGTTTTTTAAATTTAATTTATTTATTTTTGGCTGCGTTGGGTCTTCCTTGAGGTGTGCGGGCTTCTCACTGCGGTGGCTTCTCTTGTTGCAGAGCACGGGCACTAGGCACGTGGGCTCAATAGTTGTGGCACGTGGGATCTAGAGCACAGGCTCAGAAGTTGTGGCGCACGGGCTTAGTTGCTCCGCGGCATGTGGGATCTTCCCGGACCAGGGCTCAGAACCCGTGTCCCCTGCATTGGCAGGCGGATTCTTAACCACTGTGCCACCAGGGAAATCCAACACGTAACATTTGAACTCACCTCTCCCTTGGCATTCTGCAATAGATTTGGGGTCTGTTTCTGATCTTCTACAGCTGTCAGGCAGACTGAGGCAGGAGGGCATCACCATACTCCCGCAGGGGTAGGGGCTGGACAAGACAGTTCGTCCCTGCCTTGCCCAAAGAAAGCTTTGTTTTCACTGTGCCTTTTCCTGCTGGTAGGGACCGATGAACATGGATCATGGAGGTAGGAAGTTGTGTATTTTTAAAGTGATGGCATGAGTGGATTAATTTTAGAAGAGCCTTGCTCAGCTAGGTCAGAGCATTTCTGCTTGGAGCGCTCACTTGCAGTTGGTGCCACTGGCTTCCTCTTACTTGTCAGGTGTTTGAGATACTGAAGCCTCCAGGGTGGCATCGCACCTGCTCTGCCCTGCCCTCCCCTCCAGAAAGTTCAGCATCAACTTCCTTGGAAAACACAGGGAAGTCTCTCCTTGTCCCCCTCTTCCGTCTTTCTCCTCCCTGGGCACGAGCAACGGCAGGGCCCCCGCGGATGCGTCAGGTCAGTTCTGCCTCACAGAGCCTGGCAGACATAGGTGCCCACTGGGGAATCAACGACTTGAATATGGTTTTTGGAAGACAGTGGACCCTTGAACAACATAGGTTTGAACTGCATGGATCCACTTATACCTGAATTGTTTTCCGTGGTAAATATGACAGCACTACATGATCTGTGGGGACGGAGGGCTGACCAAAGTTCTATGCAAATTTTCAACCGTGTGGACAGTGGGTGCCCCGAACCTCTGTGTTGTTCGAGGGGCGGCTGTATTCTGAAATATAAAGGTCTAGAAATGTTAAGACTCTGGGAAATGTCTTTCAAAACCAAAAATTGGGGGAAATCTTTGTAATAATTTACTTATATCATTCTTTAGATATTTGAAGTATCATACCATGTGAATTTTTAAGAATGGATTGTTTTAAATCTGCATTTTTAATGAATTATTCATCCCCATTTATTTATTTGGCTGGGCTGGGTCTTAGCTGTGGCACACGGGATCTTCGTTGCAGCCTGCTGGGTCTTTAGTTGCGGCATGCGAACTCTTACTTGTAGCATGTGGGATCTAGTTCCCCGACCAGGGCTCGAACCCGGGCCCCGTGCATTGGGAGCACAGAATCTTAGCTACTGGACCACCAGGGAAGTCCCCCCATCCCTTGTGTTTAGAGCTATGAAAAGCTAGAAAAATTATAGGGAAATAGATGTTTTCCTATGTTTTCTTCTCTTTTAAAAAGTTTGAAGAAATAACAAGTCATGTTGGGGGTGGATCTCCCTCTAGTTCATCATCCCCCCAACCCCTGCTCCTCACACTTTAAGCTGCATTCACTCATCCTTCCTTGTTTCTTTTCATGGGATCTTCTCAACAATATGCAAACTGCTTTTCACTGACAAAGCTTTTCTTCCTTCTATTTCCAGTGCACAGAGGCCAAAAAGCATTGCTGGTATTTTGAAGGACTCTATCCAACCTATTATATGTAAGTATTTGCACTTATCTGTTGGTTTGATTCTGTGGTCACATCTTTCTCTGGGAATTCTTTCTTTCATAGGTCACAGGACTGGTTATGGGATGGGCCATGCCCAGCCTCGCGAGGCCTCCACCCCACAATGAGCAGGCGACCTCCCTAAGGATGCTCTCCCTGCCCAGACCAGCTGCTCTGAGGACAGCATGGAATTCTGGGTGCTCTGTTCTGTGAGGCATGTTAGCTTGTACATGATTGGTCACAAAGGGCAAAATGTCTGAACAAGGCCAGAGTTACGCTGGTTTATACAAATCTTCCTAGGCAAAGGGAGCAGAGGTAGTGGGAAAGAATTTTGAACTTGAGCAGGACAGGACAAAGTACTTAGTTCAGCTGCTGTGACTGTGAGAGAGAGAGAGAGAGAAAGAGAGAGAGAGAGAGAGATGACAGTGATCACAGGGGTCACCCAGCCTGGCCCCTCCCCAGGCAGGTGCAGTCAGCCTTGTATGGCTCTTAGTTCAGGGCAGGTTATGCCTCTTCCTGTGCCCTCAACACCTGCCAATATTACTCTTATTAAAGCATTGCCATATTTTCTCCCTATTGTTTTTCTGTATTTTTAATATCTGCTGTGTTAGCCAGTAGCTCTGCTGAGCCACCTGCCTAGGTGGCCAGATTAACTCTCTAGATTATTCATTATTATTTTTGATAGTGTTTTGAAGTTCCGTACGTTTTGAGTGGAATGAGCCAATTTAATTTTTCCCAAAAACTCTTGTATTGAATTTTGTGAAACATGAGAAATTTCAGTAATGCATATAATTGTGTTCTAGAAGAAACACTCTCCTTTCTAGTATAGAGAGAGATTGGACAGGAAATACTACACATAGTAGCAAAGAGGATTAGTTCTTAATTGGCCAAGATGTATGTTTTTCTTACCTGGCATTCTTGGGGAGTTTTTAATCTTAGAGAGACCAGTGTAGGTGGGGAAGGGTGCTGGGCTGTGAATGGGGATGAAGCACAGGGAAATGGGCAGTTTTCCAGCTTTGGTTTCATATCAGCAAGCAGGAGTCCTTACTGCCCTACGTGGTGGGAGTCCTGGCAGAAATTCTCTACACCTGCAAAAAGACAAAATCCAGGCTTTCCTGGTGGCGTAGTGGTTGAGAGTCCGCCTGCCGATGCAGGGCACACGGGTTCGTGCCCCGGTCCGGGAAGATCCCACGTGCCGCGGAGCGGCTGGGCCCGTGAGCCATGGCCGCTGAGCCTGCGCATCCGGAGCCTGTGCTCCGCAACGGGAGAGGCCGCAACGGTGCAAAAAAAACCAAAAAAACAAAAGACAAAATCCACTTGGAAGGTAAAGCAGCAGCAAAAGGGCTTCGGTTCTAATTACAGAGTTGTCAGGTTGAAGAAAAATGGTTGTGGGATAACAGGGAGATGGAAAATTGGGTTCTTAGTACAGTGGGTTTTCCTTGGGAAGCTTTAGTTCTTGATTCAACTTCTTGCGCAGGTGTGGCAGGTGTAAATCAACCGTGTCTTCCTTTGAGCCCTTTCTCCAGCTGTTTTGTAGATGAGCTGATGAACCATTTCCTGGTTTTTCAGAGGTTGGTAGTCAGAGGTCCTTGCTGTTCTTGTACTTACTTACTCATTTGTTCCTTTATACATTTATTTATTCACTACATATTTTGCAAGTGTTTTTGCATTGACAGAAAATACAGAGACAAGCCCTGTTTTGTCACTCAGATCTGCTGGTTTGGATTCCTTTCACCTCTCTTCTCTGCTGATTGTGAGGGGAAGGGTCCTAAAAATTAAAAAGTAAAGTCACTCTGCTTTTAGTGTACTGAAGCTCAGTATAAAACTAACAACAGGTGACATTCATTGAGCACTTAATATAGGCTAGGCACTGTTTTACGTCCCTTACATGAACTTACGTCACTTAATCCCCTAGCCGCTCTGATCTTTCTTTTCCTCTCCTCTCTGTTCCCACACCTGAGTCCATACCTCTGTCAATGCTCATCTGAAGCACTGTATAAACTCCCCCCGGGCAGTGTTACTGAGCTATAATTGGCATATGACATCGTATAGGTTTAAGGTATATAACGTGATGATTTGATACACTTATGTATTACAAAATGATTACCACCATAGCGTTAGCTAACACCTACATCACATCACATAATTACATTTTTCTGGTGATGAGAACATTTAAGATGTACTCTTTTAGTAACTTTAAAGTATATAATAAAGTATTATTAGCTATAATCACCATGCTGTGCATTAGAGCCCCAAAACTACTTATTTATCTTATAACTGGAAGTTTGTACTCCTTAACACGTCTCCTCATTCCACACCCCCTGCCCCAGTCCCTGGTAACCACCATTCTACCCTCTTTTTCTTTTTCCTTTTCCTTTTTTTTAAAAATAAATTTATTTATTTATGTTTGGCTGCATTGGGTCTTCGTTGCTGCGCACGGGCTTTCTCTAGCTGTGGCGAGCAGGGGCTGCTCTTCATTGCGATGCATGGGCTTCTCCTTACGGAGCATGGGCTCTAGGTGCACGGGCTTCAGTAGTTGTGGCACTCAGGCTCAGTAGTTGTAGCTCGCGGGCTCTAGAGCACAAGCTCAGTAGTTGTGGCGCACAGGCTTAGTTGCTCTGCGGCATGTGGGATCTTCCTGGACCAGGGCTCGAACCCGTGTCCCCTGCATTGGCAGGTGGATTCTTAACCACTGTGCCACCAGGGAAGTCCTACCCTCTTTTTCTAAGAGTTCTGTTTTTTAGATTCCACATGTGAGATCAAAACGATTTATCTTTCTCTGCCTTATTTCGCTTAGCATAATGCCCTCAAAGTCCATCTATGTTGTTGCAAATGGCAGGATTTCCCTCTTTCTCAGGACTGAATAAAATTCCATTGTGTATATATGTACCAAATCGTCTTTATACATTCATCCATCGACAGACAGGTTGTTTCCATGTCTTGGCTATTGTGAATGATGCTACAATGAACCGTAGGATTACAGATACCTCTTCGAGATCTAGTTTCCACTTCCTTTGCATATACACCCAGAAGTAGAATTGGCAGCTTTATTTTTAATTTTTTGCTGTTCTCCATAGTGGCTGTACCAATTTACATTCCTACCAACAGTGCACAGGGTTCACATTTTTTCCACGCAGACACTTATCTTGTCTTTTTGATGATAGCCATTCTAACAGGTGTGAGGTGATACCTCTGTGTGGTTTTGGTTTGCATTTCCGTGATGATTTGTGATGATTGAGCACATTTTCATGTACCTGTTGGCTATCTCTGTGTCTTCTTTGGATAATGATCTGTTCAGTTCCTCTGCCCATTTTTTAATTGGATTATTTGTTTTTTTTGCTGTTGAGTTATATGAATTCCTTGTATGTTTTAGATATTAACCTCTTATCTGATATATGGTTTGCAAATATTTTCTTCCATTCAGTAGACTGCCTTTTCATTTTGTTGAGTGTTTCTTCTGCTGAACAGAAGTTTTTTAGTTTGATGTAGTCCCTTTTGTTTTTTGTGTTTTTGTTGTTTGTGCTTTTGGTGTCATGTCCAAAGTCATTGCCAAGACCAGTGTTGAGGAGTTTCAGTTTCTTCCCTACAGTTTCTTCTAGGAGTTTTAGATCCACTTCAAGTTAATTTTTGTGCGTGGTATAAGATAGGGGTTCAATTTCATTTTTCTGCATGTGTTTCTTCAGTTTTCCCAGAGCTATTTGTTAAAGAGACTGTCTTTCCCCATTGGATGCTTTTGGCTCTTGTGTTAAATATTAGTTGACCTTTTATGCTAGGGTTTATTTCTGGGCTTTTTGTTCTGTTCCATTGGTTAGTGTGTCTATATTCATGTCAGTACCAAACGGTTTTATTACTGTAGCTTTGTTGTATAATCTGAAGTCAGGGAGTGTGATACCTCCAGCTTAGTTCTTTACAGGGTTGCTTTGGCTATTCAAGGTCTTTTGTGATTCCATACATATTTTAGGATTGTTTTTTCTATTTCTGTAAAAATGCCATTGGAATTTTGATAGGAATTCCAGTGATGCTCTAGATGACTTTATAATGGATCTCCTTTCATTCTCTTCTCCCATCAAGTTCTCACTTCTTTCTAAATTACTGAAAATTTTGTGTCACTCTCCTACTTAAAAACATCAGGAACAAAGTTCAAATCCTTAGCCAACTGTAAACAGGTTTCCATGATACTTGGCTGGTTTTATCTTCTTTATTGTGAGTCCCATGAAGGCAAGGCCCACAGCTTTATTTTAAAAATTTTCTTACTTGTCTTTTTTGTTTTAATTGAAGTAAAGTTTATTTACAATGTTGTGTTAGTTTCAGGTGTACAGCAAAGTGACTCAGTTATATATATATATATATATATATATATATATATATATATATATAAAGAATATATATTCTTATCAGATTCTTTTCCATTATAGGTTATTACAAGATATTGAATATAGTTCCCTGTATAACAGTAGGTCCTTGCTGTTTATCTATTTTATCTGGTAGTTGTGCCTGTTAATCCCAAACTCCTAATTTATCCTTCCCCCCTTCCCCCTTTGGTAGCCATAAGTTTGTTCTCTATGTCTGTGAGTATATTTCTGTTTTGTATTAATGAACTTATGTAAGTTCATTTGTATCGTTTTTTAGATTCCACATATAAGTGATATCATGTGATATATGTCTTTCTCTGTCTGGTTTACTTCAGCGTAGTATGATAATCTCTAGGTTCACCCATGTTGCTGCACATAGCATTATTTCATTCTTTTTAAACAATTTTTGTTGAAGTATAGTTGATTTACAATGTTGTGTTAATTTCTTCTGTACAGCAGAGTGATTCAGTTATACATGTATATATATTCCTTTTCATATTCTTTTCCATTATGGTTTATCACAAGATATTGAATGTAGTTCCCTGTGCTATATGGTAGGACCTTGTTGTTTACCTATCCTGTATATTATAGCATCTGCTAATCCCAAACTCCCAACCCTTCCCTCCCCCACCCCTCCCCTTG